AAAAAAAAAAAAAAAAAAAAAAAAAAGAGACAGGAAGAAAGGGTATGAAATACGTTCATATAGGACGAACCACCACGCTTGCTTTTCATTAAAGTACATCCAGCAACACATAGTGGATTCAAACTTTAGTTTTTGAATCCAATGATTTTCCAGACATTCAATTTCATATCAAATCAGTATCTAGGAAACCCAATTGATCGAAAGCATAAGGATTTGTTTTCGGTTAAAACAGCCAGTAAGTGCTGAGGACAAAAAGTAAATTAACAAGTCATTGTTGCTCTTACAAGTTGAAAAGCCTATATTCTCATTCTCAATCATGTCCTGCTCTAAGTAACAAAATCCACATGCCCGTCTTCTTCAATAACTTGCAGGCTGACTGAAGTCAACTGAACTGTGCTAGGTATTAGCGCAGTTGCAACCAAAAATATGGATGATTATATGACTCCAAGTGATGCTATGAGGTTTAATCTGACTTTAAAATAAGCAAATCTTTTTAGATTTTCTGATGAGTGTACCTTTTTATCAGCATTAGTTAGGTATTCTGTCTTTGCTAAAAAAATCTAGATCTTCTAAGATCAAGTTTATTTTTAAAAATTCATACCCCCTCCACGATTTTAGCAAAGAACAAAAATCTTAGTAAAGAATCATGTCATTTTGTGTCAGAAGGATCCCTTAATGATCAACTTTTAAAAATTCCTTCATTTTTCAAATAAAGTAACTCATGATCATACAAACAGATTTTATCCTCCCACTGTGGGGAGAGGTAACAGCACTTCAATTTATTCTTTCTGAAATAATTCTAAGGTTTTGTTAGATGATTTCCATTTGAATCTGTTCACTGTAAAATCCTTTTCTTTTTCTCTTTTCTTTTTTTTTTTGCTCAAAGCCATTTCCTCTGGCCTTCCTAAGCAAAATGGTGAATTAGCCAATGGGTTTCATTGTCAGAGCTGAGGCCTGTAACCTAAGCACATCTTTGTACAGTGAGCTTCAGTTTCTCTGAATTCTAACATCTTTTTTTCTATCCTACGCAAATCTTAGTTGTCAGAACACTTTACTCGTGCATGCTCGTTTAGAGGTTTGCATAAATGACGAAGGCCCTCAGAGGCTGACAAATGCCACTGCTATTTTCACCACTCTGCTTGTCACCGTGTAATTGCAGTAAATGCAACTGAAAGTACTTTTATTTGAAGGCTATTTGACAGAGGGGGAGAAAACACATTTACTCTTTCAAGGCTTGTGTATTTTCCTGGGAGAAGTCTGCCTATAAAATTTGTCCTTTTATCCTTGGATGGCAATTTGGGAACTATCTTTGGGCCATGCAACCCTTTGAATGATTTCTGCAACCCAAGAACAGAGCCTTGATTCACAGACCTTCCCCTCCATTCTCCCCACCTCCCAGCCTCCTGCCTTCTAGAGACTGGAAGGCTGCTTCATGCTTGTGTGCTTAAAGCCTTCTTTTCCACAGAATGAGATAGAAAATTTGCATATTTCAGCCATAATATTGATCTATTTTCATTCTAGGAGTTCAAGGAAAAAGTTGTTTACTAATATGTGTGGCTATGTTGAGGTAATACAAATGACAAAGAAATAATACAGTGGACTATTTTTTACAAGATTCTTTTCTAAAGCCTCCTTTCTCATGGGAGTGTATGTAACTTCAACAAGATTACTTTTGTTTTCATTGGAGAGAACAGTTAGCTCAATATAGCTGGGTTGCACAATCTTTAACAGGACTGTCCCATATAATATACAGTAAAAACATAAGGAAAATGTAAAATAATGCTTATAATTTGCTAAACATGGTTTTAAAAATCATCCTAGTCTCTAAAAGTCATCATAACTTTTTTTTTTTTTTTTTGAGACAGGGTCCCACTCTGTCACCCAGGCTGGAGTGCAGTGGCGCAGTCACAGCTCACTATAGCCTCGACCTCTGAAGCTCAAGCAATCCTCTCACCTCTGTCTCCTAGACAGCTGGGACCATAGGTGTGTGCTACCACGCCCAGCTTATTTTTTGTTTTTTGTAAAGATGGGAGTCTCATTATGTTGCCCAGACTGGCCTCAAACTCCTGGGCTCAAGCAATCCATCTGCATTGGCCTCCCAAAGTGTTGGGATTACAGATGTGAACCACCGTGTCTGGTTTCTTACAACTTCTGACCCACCCATCAAGCCCCATAAACACTTGCTGTTGTCCTGTCTATGTTCTCAGATCCATTTAAATACTTCTTACCTATAAACAGATTCCACTCTGTGTCGAGGTCAGCCTGATTTGCCAAGCAGCCCTTCATGACGTTGAGACAGTAGTTGTTGCAGGGCCTCACAGTGGGAAGCCCCCGACAGTATGGGCAGTACAGCATCTTCATGAGGGCACGGATGCACCCTGGGGTTGGGCTGACCTGCAGATTTATTGCAAAGAAAAAGAAAATCGAAAATAAGAAGGATGAAGAGGAGGAAAAAAAAGAAATAAGGCATTTTCTTCTTTTTTAAAAAACACAAAATAGCAGTGATAAACCACAGCATTAGAGCAGAATCTTAACCCTTTGTAATTACTGATCTTGCATCCAGTCAATTCCTGTTGAAATCTTCTGCGTGGCATGGTAATAACTTTTTTGCATGTCCCTGTCAACATTTTCATATCGATGTCATTGTAATTCAGCCCTAAAGCCTAGACACTGTTTCATTGCCATAGAACATGGAATGAGATAATGCACGTGAAAGCAATTTGCAAAGTTAAAAGCCCCATAAAAATGTAGGAATTATTAAAGTTTAATGTGACACCTTTAGAAAATTTTCCAACTGGTTATTTGACCCTGTCTCTAAAGGAGGTTGGCAGATATATTTCCTTTGTACATAACTTTTCTTCAAAGATCAA